TAATAGCGATTAATCTGACATCTATATTTAACTCCACGTTCATGACTATTAGTCAGCCAAACTGTCACTTTATGTAGCACCTTCCAACATGCACAGCTTGTGAATAGGACGTAGCATCTCTGACGTAGGAGTCTTGATTCTTGCGGAGCGAATGTAGCCATCCTTTGCCTTGAATACGTCTAAAACTCTCGCCAGAGGCCACTGGCCCCGCATCTACCACTAAAACAACATCCCCGACTGCTAGGTTCTTCTGGGGGCGRACCCACTTTTGCCTCAACTGCAATGTCRGGAGATACTCCTTGAGCCAGCGACGCCAAAACAGATTAGCTAAGTATTGCACTGTCTCCATCTCTGTCTTCCATAGTTGTCAGATGGTGTGAACACTCCCAGAGGCATGCTASCATTTGAACGTAGTAATAAAATGTGATTGGGAGTTATTAGGGGGTTGTCATCGTTTGGGTCGTCACTACAAGTAGTCAAAGGTCTACTGTTCAATATTGCTTCAACTTGAGTCATAATGTCAACAACACTTCGTCTGTGGTCGTTTGTTCCTTCAGCAATGCCCTCAGAATTGATCTAACGGATCTGATGATTCTTTCCCAGATTCCCCCCATGCTGCTAGCACCTGGTGGATTGAACTTCCAGACAATGTCTCTGTGCTTCAAGAAACTCTCTATCTTCTGATCATTCCACTCTTGCAAAGATTCACGTAGTTCACGTTCTCCTCCCTTGTAATTCGTGYCGTTGTCACTTCTAAGTTCCTTGGGTCGTACTCGACGATTTATGAAACGCAGTGCGTTGATGAATGAGTCAACATCTAAGCTATGGGCCACTTCCAAATGGACTGCTCGTGAAGTCAAACAAGTAAATAGGCAACCATAACGCTTCTCAACASTACGTCCTCTCTTCACCAAGAATGGGCCAAAGAAGTCTGTTCCAACATACGTGAATGGTGGTTCGTCAGCCAACATGTGTTCTCTGCCGGCATGACCGTGCATTAGATGATAGTATTCGATGATTAGCTTACAAACAACRTGGTTCTTCGGTAGGATCTTCTGAGATTGGGGCGTTTTGCAGACGTCCTCCAACCAGTAAAACACCATCTTTAAGTACAGAGTTAGCTTGAATATGCAGCTGTTCCTTGGAAGGTTACTTCGTGTACTAGAGTCCTGAACCTCAAGAGACTTCGGCTGTCTTGAAAGAATCTTCACTTCCCTCGAAAACGCTTGACGTTGAATGTCCTTCATAATGTCAACTTCTGCTCCTTGAAGTTCCTTCACTGTTATTCGTCCTTGAGCRACGTGATCAACTTTGGCGTTGTTCTTTGCCTTTCGAAATTTCTCAAATCACTTGAGCCTTATCAAGCCACTTGGCTTTTAGATGAACTGGGAAACGTTCAGCTATTTTCTTAAGATTTGTTGAAAGAAAGAATTGTTCAAGTCGTCGATGTAACCAATGGCTCGCAAGGTCAACTYACAATCCTTCAATTTATCTGCAAAAACACGCAGCCCTTCTCTGTCAGATGCTCTTATTGGTGGTCCTTGCGTCACAAGTTCGATGTAAGCAGTAGCTATGGCATACGGTTCGYCAAACCTTTCATGTAATAAATAACTTTCGCGCCGTAGCATAGCCTTCATTTGAGTCCAAAACCACACAGTTTTTAATCACTTCTTTCGCTTTACCAGTACAATACTGAAGTAAATAATTAAATCGTTCTCCATTATCCTCAGTTTTTGCTTCAATGTTKTGATCATAGTTCCTTACGAACCGCCAGTAATGAAGTAGGTTACCGTCAAAGGTAAGCAGCTCCGGTTTAGGTAGCATTAAAGCATTCGTCATAGCACAGGTGATTCTTTCTTGTTGCTTCATAAGCTCGCTTAGAACCACCTCATCAACCCCTGTCGGCTTATGTTTTTCAATTAACGCCGCAGCTTGCTCACGAGGTTGACAGTTCTTACTTTCAGCAATGCAACAACAACARCAATCTTTATTTTCATTTCCAATATATTATATATATTTACACTTTTATTGCATATTTTTCGTAGAAAACAATAGTATGGATTTATATTAATTTTTATAGAAAAATATGCTTTGCATTC